GCTGAAGTGTGAGGGTTTCCGCCTGCTTTGAGGCCGCCCTCCTCAGTGTCAACACAGCCGGTGGAAGCCCTCCATGTTGACCAAACAAGGACCGCACAAAACACACAAGAATAAAAAAAGAAAAGTGAACACGGTAAAGACAATTAAACTCGCGTTGCTCAACTCTATGTCAATGGTGGCCAGTGGCGCAACATGCATGCTTAGTTGAGTAACTGACAACCTCCCATGCATGTTTGAAACCAGCTGGCCAGGAGGCACAAAACTTGTTGTTGCATGGATATTCACTGGCAAGAAAACGGCCAAAGTCCCTAGAACACAGCCATAGCTGCCAAGGAGCTTCTCCTCTTTGGCCAGTGACTCCTCATGAAGCAGCTTCTCTCGCTGATGTGCGAAGGCTCCTGGTGACGAATGTGACATGTCTCATCCACTTGAGAAATTCGGAGCATGAAGTAATGAAGTAGTTTGGGGAAACACGCCAGTTTGAGAAGCACTCTTTTTGATTGTTCATCTTGAAGTTGACACTAAATTATGCCAACCCGGAATCAGCCAAGGTGCTTTGCTCTTCCTTCAGCTCTCGCTGAAGTGTGAGGGTTTCCACCTGCTTTGAGGCAGCCCTCCTCAGTGTCAACACAGCTGGTGGAAAAGCGAAGGAACGCACGAGACATACAAAAAAAAAAACATGAGCAGAAGAAGACTGGATTTGATTTGTTTACCTTTGTCAATGGATACATGGCGCTTGTGTGGCGCTTGTGTGTGAGATTGATTGGTAAAAACTCGCACCCCCTCCCCCCTCGTACATACTTCAATACTCTGGCCGGGAGAGACTTCATGCTCGTTTTTGCATGGGTATTTGCGAAGAAAAAGGGGCCACGACTGTATGCGTCACAATCCCGGAGCTTCACACCCCTTATGTGTCAAAATGCACAAGGGGAAGCAGCTCTCTGTTGCGGATTTCAGGCCATTCAATTTCACTTGCTTTGGAGCCAAGGTTGTCCTTGCGGAGCCTCAAGCAGTGAGGAAGAGCCCTTACCTTCCTTGACACTCCCAACAATGCCCCCACTCCCTGGGTTGAAAAGGTTCTATGAAAATCTCCATCCAAGATTGTGATCCAGCAGTCACAAAGGGATGGTTTTTAGTCCCATCCAGTGAGTGGATGTGACAGGGGCACCCCTACCCTCCAAGTTCGGCACCCCGTCTTGTGACTGCTGGATGTCATGTTTGATCCAACCAACTGTGTATTAATTGATTGACCTCGTGATTGGAATCACTGATGTCTACTCGCCCCGTCTTCGCCGGAAACCATCCGCGACCCGAGGCGAACGGAGCGAAGGCTGATGCAGCGAAAAAACCACCTGACCCAAGAGAGGTAGCCAGCGACCTGAACTAGGGCCAACCTGATATATACCTTACTGTATAGGGCCCTGTCTAGTTCGGGTCATTCAACCTGTGTTGGATGAAGCTTGGCCGGTTCCGCTCCACGCCAGGTTCCGCTGCGTCGCTGCGCTGCTGTCTCTTCCAACCCTGGACCGTCGAAGACTGGGACTGCCGGGTCAGCCTCCCCCGAGCTCCACATCACCCGCCTGATGTACCCGATGGATCCACTACCACCGTACGAAGGCGTCCTGGGACCTTCCTGGCACCCTCCTACATCAATAGTCTCTACTCACCGTACCGACCTTCTTAAGGTATGTGGATCCATAGGGGGTAGGTGAATATGGCAGTCCCATTAGTCGTATCTGGGATTGGGGTGGTGGTTTGGTCTTCGTCTGCATGTGAGTGTGCATGTCCGACAGTGACGGGAGAAAGCGCGCTGGCGTGTTGACGCAGAAAAAGAAAGTGCTTAGCCAGTGCATCCCAGTGACCACTGTATGAGGAACCAGGGTTTCGTTCGGTCTATACCTGGATCTTCCAACTGTGACAAATGTCTGCCTTTTCACACCAAAAAACGACCCAAAGGCAGACATTGGGCATAGTTATGCATAGTTGGAAGATCCAGGTTTTATCTGCTTTTAGTTTTTGTGGATGCCCTGGGTTGGTGTGGTTGACCCGCACGCGTGGTCACTGGTGGTAGATCTTCCAGTCCTAAACAGGTCGTGTCTGGACAAATGAGCCACAAAACGCCACATCTCCAGAGGTTCAGAGGTTAAAGAACCTTACCCAGACACTCCATGTATGCCATATATGCCTACATTGACCCCTCAAACCACCCCAATGTAGGCATATATGGCATACATGGAGCGTCCGGGTTGTAGGCTATTCCTTAGGTACCCCAGGTTATGGGTCCTTTTTCGAGTCACTCAACCTCTCTTGCCGCATCTCCAAGGATCTTCTCCTCGGTGCGTGACTCGGATAGCAACTCCTCCTGTGCTCCTGCCAAGGGATTGGAAGAAGTGACGTGGGATGCGAAGAAATGGCGTGGGATGCATCAATCATCTAATGTAAAGTAGACTCTTGATTTACCCTACAAAACCAAGTACCTCCTCAGAAGGTATTTGGACCCTCCAAACCCACCCCAAACACCTTCTCAGAAGGTACTTGGAGGCCTAGGGTTACTAAAAAAAAACACCAAAAAGACCTGAATCACGAGATTCGAGTGTACCTCTCTAGACCCTGCAGTCTGTCTGCTGCAATGAGACATTCTTTTCACACTGCAGATGTTCAGCTCCCCACTTGTCGCATCATATCAAGTTCAAACAGTTCAAACACAGCTCACAGCTCCCCCAAAAGTGGGACAGTTCATCTAGTTCACAGCTCATATGTTGACTTTTCAGCTCCCCAAAAAATCGACTCTCAAACAGTTCAAACATTTTCGCTAGGTCCCCAAGTCAGCCAAGCTACTCAGCTCTTGCCTCAGCCCTTGTTCAACTGCGAGACTCTCGACGTGCTTTGAGGCCGCCCTCCTCGGTGTTATCAAAGCTGGTGTGTCAAAGGCTTGCGGAAATGCTCCCTGTCAACTACACAGTCTTTCAAAGAGCAAAGGCAAGCACAACAAAGACACGCGCCAGAGGCAGGAATATGTTCATCATACAGTTCCTAGAACAGAAGGCCACAATGTAAGCTGTTGGTTAAGGACAGTATCATACAGTACATTCAAGTACATTGAGGATTTCTTGGAAAGGGACAAATGACAAAAATCCAGAGATGAAACAACAAGACAACGCTTGAGCCCAAAGTGCTCCCTCTCTTCTTTCAGCTCTTGCATTAGCTGCTCGTTCCGCGCCCGTTCCAGCTGACAGATCTCCTCCTTCACAGCCTGACCCCAGAAAACAGTCACTCGCCCCAGAAAGAGCACCGGGTGAGGCGGCGGTCGAGGAATCCCCAGCAAAATCCGGTTTGAACCTTGACTCAAGGACCCCTTCTAATTATGGAGGGTCCGAACTCGGATCCTTAGGGCCTTAGGGAATGTCCATGAAATCTGAGATAGGAAAGAGATCCTCCATTCACCATTCACCCGCTGCGGCCCGGAGAAGGTCCGACCCCTGCGGAACAGGGAAAAAGATCCGACCCCTGCATATGAGGGTCCAGGAGCGTCTGGGCTATGCTAGAATGAGTTGGGTCTATCCTAATACCTGGTTGCCAGTGGATGATGATGGTTCAGTTGCAGGCCAATTGTTTCCTGACTGTTGCAGGTAGGACAGACCCAAAGAATGAGCATTTGTGGAGCCTCGGAGGGATCGGACCCGAATCCGGACTGACCCCGAGGATGTCCACAAGCTGGCAAACGAATAGGCACATGTTTTTGCCCAGACGGTGGAAGTCGGGGGTCAGAGCATCCCAGGTAAACCACTGTAGATACATACCCTAGAAGTCCAGTTCGACGATATAACCGTCTGAAGTAAATGAAGTTCCGAACTGCGGGTCACCTGACCAATCTTTGTATAGTCTTTGAGTTCCAGGGCATAAGGAACCAGGGGCGCTCGGCCCTCGGTCTATACATGGATCTATATACCAGTCATATACCAGTCATACCCAGACCCAAAAGACCTGGCCTATAGTCCCTTAAGTCGGATCTGGGTCGACCTGATCCACGAACCCTCCGATCCGCCCCAGGTCGTCTTCACCATCGCCTCGGCCCCCCCCCGCCCGCGGTGTTCGGCGACCCCTTTCGGCCCCGAGCAGCCCCGAAAGCAGCCCAGGTCGGACCGCGGAGGGAGTGCCCAGCGACCGTCGATCGGTGGCGCGAATTCGACTGAAGCCCTGCGTTTGCAGCATGGCCCAGATACGACGAATGGGACTGCCATATTCACCTACCCTAAGGATCTGTGGACCCTCCAGTCTGAAGGGATCGAACCCTGCTGTTCACAAGGGTTTGTACCCTGAAAACCCTTGTTTTTGAGGGTGCGGATCCTTAGGGCTATACATCAGGCCAGGGGTGATTTCGAGGATTTTGGAGGTCGGGGAGGCAGTCCGGCAGTTCCAAACAGGTCGTGGGACATGGAACCCGAGAATTCAACCCGTGGCTTCGACCGTGCGAAGACCAACCCGACCGTTTTGGGGAAAAGGGGTTCCACGTGAGGAAGGCAGGGGGACTAGCCCCCCAAAGGGGCGAGGTGATTCCGGATGTCCATTCCTCACCCAACCTGTGGCGCTGGTATCAAAAACCGGAGCTGGACCAGGCCAGTGCCAGTTCCCTTTAGCAGCTGCCTTAACTCCCTACCAGCACCTTCCGTTCGTCCGGTGGTTTCTGGACACCTCTTAACCTCTAAGAGGCTATTGTCTAGACACCTCAAACGGTGTCCTGGAAACCGACCGTCGTGGAGTCCAAGTCCGTCCTCGTGCGCAGGTTCCATCGCGTGTTCATCGCCTCCCAGGAGGCCATGTCCAGTAGGTAGACGTCGTCGCATTGCACCTCCGCGTCCGCTTGGGCCACCTCCTCAAGCCGCGACGAGGGTTCAGGCGGCATCGGAAGCAGCGAGCGAGCGAGCGAAAAAACATGCACCCGACCCCTCCGGTGACCTCCTCAAAGGGCGTCTGGACTGTCTTGGTTTCTTCCGGATTCTGAGGACCCAGACCTGGTGGTGAGGCTTCCGGAGCTTCTGATTCTTAGTGAAATCGCAGTGGTGGTGGCTGAATATATTCAGACAGGTCCATTGGAATGCATTCTGCAACTAGCACATCCAAGTCAACTGCGAGGATATGCTCTCCGTGACACACATCATGTCATCTACGTAAGGCTGGCAGAGGTAGACAGGGCTGGCCAAGCTCCGCGACAGAACGTCACGGAGCGAAGCTTCTTCGTACTTGTCCCATGACTATCATGACTATCCCTAAGGATCCGTGGACCCTCCTTAGAAGGGATCGAACCCTGCTGTTCACAAGGGTTTGTACCCTCAAAACCCTTGTTTTTGAGGGTGCGGATCCTTAGGGTTGTCAATGACTTGTGCACTGGTGATCATGCCAGACACACAAACGAGAACTGCAGACCTTGACAAAGAGATTCGTCTTCCCCTATCTTCCCCGACCTTAGACCATAGAATGGAAGTATGATCATCCTGAGGAATGACAACACAATATGACAATGTGTATATCACCAACCTGAACTAGCAAAAAAAAAACATCGTGTCCGGTCTGATACGTGGAGAACTGCTGTCACTGCTGTCGACAGGCAGCTGCAAGCAGAAAGAAGCAACAAAAACATCACAATGCCTTGTTCTACCTTCCGCACCCACCAATGTCCCCTGACCAGCTAGCTGGTGGTGCTGCACTAATTAAAGACCGAAAGGAGCAAAGAAGAAACCTGTTGATTCCTCTAGCTGTGGTCGTTGCAGCTTGTTGCAGCTTGTTGCAGCTCTTCGGGTGAGGGTTGGAGGGCTTTCACAGGCTACCTTCGGACCTTCAGCCTGCAAGAGCCTACAGGACCCGAGTAGAGATCCTTCCTTCTGTCACTCGGTTCAGGCCTGATGGAAGCAAGACAACACCACCTAGGATTGATGTCATATACCAGGACCGACACCGTTCGAGGTGTCTATAAATAGCCTCTCAGTGGTTGAGGGGTGTCCAGAAACCACCGGACTTGGAAGGTGCTGGTATACTATATAGGATTGATATCCCACTCTTGACAGATCGGCATGGTGAACTTGATAGCGCCCGCTTCTTCCATTCATCCATCGAGTTCGACTGCCAGCACCCTCCAACCACAGGTCACGGCATGTCACTGGATGCCGTCGTCGTCCCCGCGAAGCCTCGCCTCCCAGATCGTCTTCTCGTGTGTGGATCCTGATGCCAGCTCAGCTAGCATCGCCCAGGTGGATCCTGCGTGATACGCAGGTTTTGGGCGCGCGGCGGCCCAAAAAACTTCAAACACTTCCCAGACACAACCAGTCTAGGACTGGAAGAGATGCCGCACCTGTTCAACAACCCCGGCCCAAAACCTCCCCCTCCCCCAATTGGTTGGCGCCATGGCAAGAGGCGCCTTCATGTTTTGGGTTGGTGCCATTGGGCTTCCGAGGCGCAAGTCTGGACCTTCCTAGACTCAGGTCACCTCGGACCAGACCTCGGACCATACATGGTCGACTTGACCGTCCGTGGCTCGAACCACTGGCAGCTCGACGTTGCTGCACCGCCGGGAGGCGTCCCCGGACCGGGAAGGCGTAGCGGCCTGTTCCCCTAAGGAACTCGGTGGTGGGAGGGAGACATGCACCAAGAGAGGTCTTCAGTGACCTTCTAGCACACTACTGAGGTACCCAACTGGGGCTAGTCGAACTGCGTAGGGTTCTGACCCACCTCTGTTGGCCATGCCGGGCGGAAGAGGTTTGGTTCGCGCGCGGTGGCGCGTGAACAGGTGCTAGAACCTTGGGGACCCACCAGTCACGACAAGAGGGGAGGCAAATCCGAACCTATGCAGGGGTCGGACCCGAATCCTTTGGAGGGGTCTGGACCTTCTCACCAAACCCTATGGTTTTGAGGGACCCAAGGGCTGTGTTTGGAGAGTCTGGGTGGTGGAAAAGTCCAGTTTGCAATGTTTGAGGAGTGTCCATTCAGAGATGCATTTGGTCCATGCCTTCTAGATGAGATGGAAGCGTCCATACCCTCTAGATGGAAGCGTCCATGCCCTTCTTTCGAGCTATCAGGTCGGTCTGGTCCCCACGCCTTTTGCTCCACTCCATGTCTGGGCGAAGCTCACCAGAAGAGGATGTCATCTCCAGCAAAATCCAGAATGGTCGAACTGGTCGTGGAGTCCGGAGCTGTGAAATCAGCCAAGGCCTCGCTTCCAATCTGAGATAGACCATCCGGAAGTATCAATTTGGTCAAAGATCTGCAGTCACAAAAGGCTCCAGGCTCCATGTCCAATCTGAGCTACAGAGTCCGGAATGCTCAAACTGGTCAGGGAACTGCAGCCACGGAAAGCCCTCTCTCCAATCCGAGTCAAAGAATCCGGAATTGACAAACGGCTCAAAGAGCTGCAGCCATCGAAGGTTTTGTCGTGGATCTGAGTTACAGAGTCCGGAACTATCAAACTCGTTAGAGATCTGCAATCACAAAAGGCTCCCTGTCCAATCTGAATTACAGAGTCTGGAAGTGTCAAACTGGTCAAAGAACTGCAGCCACAGAAAGCCCTGTCTCCAATCAGAGTCAGATGATCCGGAATTGACAAGCAGCTCAAAGAGCTGCAGCCATGGAAGGCTTTCATTTGGATCTGAGTTACAAAGTCCGGAATTGTCAAATTGCTTAAAGAAGTGCAGCCATAGAAGGCATATCTTCCAATCGAAGTCACAGAGTGAGGAATCGACAAACGGGTCAAAGAGTTGCAGTCACGGAAGGTTCCGTGTCCAATCTGAGCTACAGAGTCCGGAATTGTCAAACTGGTCAAAGAACTGCAGCCACGAAAGGCATCATCTCCAATCCGGGTCACTGAGTCTGGGATGGTCAAACTGGTCAAAGATCTGCAGCCA